TATTTTTGGACATCATGTTCCTATTTATTATTGAGAGAGGTGGGAGGTAGTTGTTTCCAGAATATAGTTATAAACCAGATATAATTACATGATGTGATCTATTGAGACACTAAAATATTCGGCTAATGTGATGTTCTGACTTATAGAATGTAATTTTTTTTTAAAACTTTTTATACTGTGTTGTATATGTATTGTTTTGCATACCTTGTTATCCATGAACTCTCTCCTATGCAGAGCATCTCAAGAGAGCAAGCCAAGAGATTTTCAAAATTCCGGGAAAGGAAAGACCTTATTGATAAAGATGTGGTATGCAACTATGCATTGCATTTAATATCTCATCTCCTTGACATTTCCCCAACTCTACTTGACTCAACTAAGCTTTGACATCAATCTAGCTGGGTTGGCTACTTAGATTCTAGTTTTCATTCAGACATTCTATTAAGTGCTAAAATAGTCATCCCTTGAGCTTAATTATTTCCATACTAACTAACCTATGGTTTTATATACATCGTCTTCCAACTTATATTGCCACCATAGTATCATTGTTTCTAACTGCTGCATCCATATAAAATCTTGGTTCTTTTCCACCCTGCAATTGTGCAATTTAATAGAAACTGTTAGAATTTTTCTTTCAACTCCTGAGTTTTTTACAATCACTTAAAACACATGTTGCAAAGGGTTTGATGTTTTTAATCCCCAGAAACAACCTTAAGCCGTCTGGGAAAATAAAAGAAAAGTAAGATAAGATTGTTTACATCTTCCTCTGCTATTACTACATGATGTGGATTGTGGAAGCCTCAAGCGGTAGCTCTGACCCTTATAAAGTTTTGGCTGTAACTCCCCTGTCACTATATGACATGGGAGCCTTGATGATAAACTTGAGAAAGTTCATTCTGTCCAATTAATTGTCTTTTTTCTTCAATTTAGTGGTCTTCAAATTGCAGTGCATGTACTGAGTGTAGTTATACTCAGTTTGAACCTATCTCTCTCCAAAGTGTATACCATGCTTTCAATATTTGCCTCGTGGTTTCTTTAATTTAATAATGAGGGGTTTATCTTTGTGAAAAGGCACACACCATGAAACAGCATCTTGAATATGTGTAGTTAACTCATTGACATTAAAATGAAAAGGCAACTATTTACATAGTAGTATTTAACCTTATTGTACACATGGTTGCAATAGGCGCTAGTCATTCAGTAGAGTAGCTCCTACCGCCTAGGCGGCTAACTAAAAAAAAAAACAGTGCACGTGTGTGGGTGTATGTCATATTATATATATATATATATATATATATATATATATATATATATATATATATATATATATATATATATATATATATATATATATATATATAAAAATAAAAAATAAATAAAAATTAGCAAGGCCGACTCAGTCGAGTTAACTCATCTAACTTGGCCGAGTTCGCTGCCAACTTGACCGAGTTGGGCGCCGAGGTGGCCGGCCGCCTAGTGGGTAATTTGCCTCGGCCTAGGGGTGCCTAGCGCCTAGGCCGATTTTTGCAAGAGTGATTGTACACCAGCTGCAATAGGATGGGCGTCTAATTTTCTTTCAATTGTTCTCACATTGTAACTATCCTCTCATGTGTCCTTTATAAATTTAATATAACTGGGGTACTTCGTTTTCCCTAACACCTACTGCATCACAATACCTATTTTGGTACTCCGTAATATGGTTTTTCTATGGTGGTAGAAGTGTATGGGAATCTCTCTTCTTTACCTGGTACTTTTGAAGTAATCCATTTATTAGATAAATAGGGAATATAAACCAAACTAGTGTTTAAAATTTCTGTGAACCTCATTGTCTTGAGTTCTACTTTGATCACTATCTTCTGAAGTTCCACAGCATAGCTTATCAACTTGAACACTTGATGCCTTTAGAACTTATGCAGTCTTGGATATCAATATTTTTTTGAAATAGGTACTGTGGTGCACTTTTTTCCGTTCCTCTGATATCTGTTCTGTTTTCAAGATCATGTTGGAAAGTTGAGCTTCCTAACTAAAGCATATTCCATAACTTTTTCATACTCATTAGGGCATTAAGCCACAAGATTCATCTTTCTCAAAACATGCAAACATATCAACGTAATTTCTCTATCTCAACATCACATCACTTCCTTTCTTTTATTGTAGTTAGTTCATAGCACCCTCTCATGCTGCTTGTTTTGCCCTACTAGCTAATCTGTATATCCAATAATCAATATATGCTTCTCTTTTTACAATTGGGAAAATTCCTATACCTATACTTTGCACTTTATCATTGCAGCACCACATTTCTTTTGTTGGGGTCCAATACCTTTTGATTCTCTTAATATTTTCTGGGTCACCTTTTCTACTACCTTGCTATTGTTTCTTACCAGTGACAACAGGATTGTAATGACTTTTATTCTTCTTCTGATTCTTTCTTTTTGTTTTCAATTTGAAGGTGAGGACTGATAAGTCAATCTCATTCTACGATGGGAATGATAATCCTAATGTGAATGTTTTACGAGACATATTGATGACTTATTCATTCTACAACTTCGATTTGGGTTATTGTCAGGTAACATAATTCCCTTTTGTAATTTACTTTTCCTTGCTAATTAATAGATTCGGCACAGTTATAAACTATTTGGGGGGTTGGGGGTTGCTTCGTTTGAACATTGGAATTGGACCAAATATATAGTAATCAGATTGGATTTTAGTAAACGCAACATATCCATTTGTTAGTAAACAGGAATTAGAATCAGTATTTAAATTGTTGGTAGCGATTGAAGGAGATGAAGTGGAGTAGGAGTCATTAATTACCAAAAGTTATTGATGGGTGATTTGATTCCGATTCCGAAGTATTAAAATCAAGTAAACAACTAAACAAGCTCCTCAATCACTTTGGGTTCTGATTCCAGTATCAAAAGTAACAAATCAAATGGCCCCTTGGCCTTAGTATTCATATGTTCTTCTAAAGATGTCAATTATATGCATATTTGTGTATCAGTGGCTTTATTATGCCCCCTCTGACAAAGTTCACATTATTAGTCCCCAAAATTAGAGTAGTCTCAATTTCATTCCCATACTTAATGACAGTTATTGCTTTTCCTCTTTTCTTAATAATTGAAAATAATATGTGCTTTTCCTTTTACTCATAGGGCATGAGTGATCTCCTTTCTCCTATATTATATGTTATGAGAGACGAATCAGAATCTTTTTGGTGCTTTGTTGCACTAATGGAGCGACTTGGACCAAATTTTCAGCTTGATCAAAATGGAATGAACACTCAGCTTTTTGCACTATCAAAGGTTCTCCTCTCTCTCACTCTCACTCTCACTCTCACTCTCACAGACACAGAGCTGAGCCCACATGCATTACATCACATCTAGTATTGCATATGAAAATTTATTTATCATCTGATATTCTGATTGATCTGATCAATTTGGTGTTGGTTTATGTTTGAGTATACATGCAATCATGTTGACAAAAAGAGTAAGCTTGGATAGAATTTAGACAGTACCATTCCGTCACTATTCTTAAATTTTACCATTTTCTTTGTCCAAGAAATGCACATTCAACTTGCTATTTTTTATGCTGAACTGTTGCAGTTGGTGGAGTTGTTAGACGGCCTGTTGCATAATTACTTTAAACAGAAGGACTGCTTGAACTATTTATTCTGCTTCCGTTGGATTCTCATACAATTCAAAAGGCATGTGATACCATTTCCTGATTTTCTTTATACAAATTAAAGTTCCATTTGCTTTAATAATATTTATTTCCATTTTGAGATAAACTAGTTGCTCTAGTGAAGAAGACAATGTAGTGCTATGCATCCATTCCTGTAAAGTTATAATATGTGCAGTGGTGCTAATGGATAAAGCTATTTACTGTTCTGAAAATGTGTTCCTTACTTTATTAAGTAGAAAGAAAATAAAACAAAAGAATAGGAAGATAATGGTAGAAAAGAACCTATCAATGAATCATTAGATCTGAAGATTTCAAGTCAATCCGTGGTTTCCAATGCATATGCATATTCTTTTTTACATTTTGTTGTTCTTGCTTGTGGGTAGCAGTTGTGGGAGTCTGAAAGTAGTACCTTCGAAACTGTGAGTGTAGTTTCTAGTGGGAGGTTTTGATCTTCAACTAGATTGTATGCATGTTACTAAATGTGTTCCACCTTGGTGAAGGTTAAGTTGTCTGGATTGTATGCCTGTTACTAAATGGCATTCTCCACCTTGGTAAAGCTTAAGTTGTTGGTGAGGATACAAATTCATGTTTTTATGTTTTATCCTCAACAAGCCCCCAGAAAACATGGAAATATTTTGTTAATGGGTAGTGCTTCAATTTACTTTTCTAGGTCTCTTAAATTTGTCTCGCCTTTGATAGGGAATTTGAATTTGAGAAAACACTGCGGTTGTGGGAGGTTTTGTGGACACAGCATTTGACTGAGCATCTGCACCTTTATGTATGTGTTGCAATCCTGAAAAGATATCGGAGCAAAATAATCGGAGAGAAGATGGATTTTGACACTCTACTGGAGTTTATAAATGAGCTGGGTGGTCATATTGACCTCGAAACAACCCTTAGGGATGCAGAGGCATTATGTCTTTGTGCTGGTGAATATGGTGCTGCTCGCATCCCTCCTGGAACTCCACCCTCCTTGCCTATTCAGAATCTTCTGCTATTCTCTCAAGAGGATGATGATGTAATGTAAGCTGAATTTTTGTGGAGTAAGACTTCTAACATGATGGGGCATGATAGTTCTAGGCTCCTAGAAAATCATTGGGGTATATTAAACCATTGTAAGTATATGGTTTCAATAATTTCTGATTGAACCGGATCAACTTTCTTTTGTTAATTAGGAATTGCCATTTTGTATCATTTGTTGAAATGCATATAAAATTATCTGCAGTTGGTAATTCTGATTTCTGTTTGTAAAAACTAATTTGCCCGTTTGAAATGCCATGGCTATTTTTTGTTGTTGTTGAAGGATTTCCTTTACAGTGTATATATACAGCAAAATTCCTTAGTGTATTGTTATTGTAGCAGGAAGCAGACTTGAGTAATAAAGCTTATACTGAAATTCAAATTCTACCATTAATTGTTCATCTCTTGGTACATGAATAGAATGGTTTCGCAACTAAGCTGGTGCGATTTTCTTTAGCTGATTAAGCACCAGCTCGGGCACGAAACCCCTATCATGACTGTTAATACAATCTCAGGCAAATCTCATACTTTTATTTGTTGGAAACTCTTTAGCTGGATTTATAGCAGGAATGGGTGGATGCCATCAAGCAAGGTTTCATCTCCAGTGCTTTGGAATGCATCAAGCAAAACGTCGTCCAGGATGGGAATCAAAGGCACATCTTCAAATATCCAAGGCAAGTTGTTTGTTGAAATTGATGAATTTATGTTGCAGTTTTCTATTCCCATATGTTCCATCCATGAATTCATGATTGAATCCATTTCATCTTCTTGTTTGCTAGAGCCATCAACCAGGTTTGGGTTTTCCATGCTTTGTGTGGGGATGGATGCTGAAATGCTGTCATCGTCTTTGGGAGTTATTTTCATCCTCTTGCCTCTACGAGACCTCTTGTTCAAATGGGTATTCCAGAAATTCTTGACTTCATTGTCGGTTCGGCCAGGAAGCCTACCTGCAATTAGTGACCATCTGTGCAGAAAAGGAACACAGAAACTCACTGAGAATTTGTGATTAACAGGTAAGGTGTTGATTTTACCTGCATTTTTAGCTTGGGCAAAATGTCCATTTGAATCCCGTTTGGTCATTTAAAAATTACATATTAATATCAACTGATCAAATGGGTTGCAAACAATCTATCTCATCCATTCTTACTTTTTTGATACACAACAGCATATTTGGTCCTCCTTAACAACCTTTCCAACTTTTTTTATTCAAAATATTTCCAATCCATCTTTGGTCTTCCCCACTTAATTGTTAATTCCAATAGATTAATTGAAAGCCTATTTTTTCCATCAATCCGACTTTTACCTGCCCAAATCTAATCCAAACCCCCATTGGCTACGTATATCTTTAGTCAAAGTCTTAATTATTATAGTCTTAGGTAAAAATAGACTTGACTTGACAATTAAGCTCACTGACCGGTTGCCAAGAAGTTTATGCATTCTGATGATGAGGTCTTTTTCGTCTTCTGACATCATACCACGTTTGATGTTTGGTCTAAGGTAATTTTTCCACCTGAGCCTGCAGCTCTTTCCACTTCTCATCAAACCTGAAACACAGTGAAACTGATGAACATACCAATATGTCTAAAGAAGTTGATCTGTGTGACTGTCAATTGGTCTAGTTACACTATATATCCATAAGGACCTTAACTAGTATGCATGGCTACAATGTATTTTTTTTTTTTTTTTTTTTTATAACAGATAATGAATGCATTCAATTAAGGTAATGACAAGCTGAGTAGATTAAACACATTTATATATAGTGAAAATTGTATCACTTCTAGAGATGGAGAAAGACAATTACCCGATTTCTTGGAGATGGTTGCCCAATTACCCTCCCCATGTGTTTCAACACATTTCTTCAGTGTCAAATCCTCTTCTGGAGTCCAAAAACCTCTCTTCAACCCTGCCTTCACTTCTTTAGCCTTCATTGGATTTGAGTCCTCTGAAAACTCAACTTTTATGGTGAAATCTGACAGTGGATTCATGATGAGTTAAATATATAGATGAAAGTGCATGGGGGGGATGTTTTGAGTTTGAACGGTAGATGATTACACGTACTAGAGGCCGGGGCCCTATGTTGATTCACTTTTGTGCTTTCTTTGCTAGCTACTTTTTTGATCTTGAAGTAAAGCTCATTTCTGCTCCACTTGTTAACCCCACTGAATCTATCCACATCTGAGATAAATCTTGCTAATATACTACGTAGGACCGACACAACTGAACATGCAATGCTAGCAAGTTTTCACTATAACACGTTTCTTGTTTCTGTCTGTTTTTAATCTCAAATAATTATACATACTCTGTAAACACGTTTGTCACGTATTAACCAAGAAATAAGAAATGATATACATTGCTTCTGCCAAAGACCTTGTGGTCGAGCCACATAAATGTGGCTCTCTTAAATGAGAGATCACAAGTTCGAATTTCAGTGGGGGCATTGACTCTTTGTGCTCCAGTAGGTTGAAAAAGTAATATACATTGCTTCTAATTTAAACCAAAGACCTTGTGGTCGAGCCACATAAATGTGGCTCTCTTAAATGATAAATCACAAGTTCGAACTCCAGTCGGGGCATTGACTCTTTGTGCTCTCCAGTAGGTTGAAAAAGTAATATACATTGCTTCTAATTTAAATAATGGTATTAATTAGCATCTATTGTACATTACAGTTTTCCACAGTGCTTTATACACGAAAAGGAAAACTCCTTGTTTAGAAGACTAGAAGAGTTATATTTCTTCCTTCCTCTTTCATGACAAAGTGAAAAGTATAATTATATGCTTAAATATATATATATTTTTTAAATAAAAAAGGAAAAGATGGGGGTACATGCATTATATAAACCAGTATATATTGCTATGACAATCTCCTTTATTTGCTTTAGTTTCTGGCCATGCACAAATTACAGCTAATTGTAACACTTCTATGTACTATACTTTTTTTGCATAGAATTTTTTGAAAGAAGTGATTTGTTCTTATTTTCTGTTTCATGCCCCACGTGCATGTGCACATGTAGTTATCATTACAAAATTTAACTAGACATAAATAAATAGATGGCATTAATAAAATTGTTTGCAAACTCTGTCATGAACTCGGGATCAATGTTCAGAATTAAGTATAATATTCATTAACTTTTAATTAAATATTTAATATCATATTTGATTGAACTAAAAATGTTAATCAGATCAGATGCATTAATTAATTTGGTGCTGTAGTTAGGGACTTAGGGTACTGTTTTATGAGGGGGAAATAAACCCCACTCAAAATTTAGGCATGAGTGAGGGTAGTGTGTAAAAGTGGGACATGTCCAAAAGGTGATGGGTACTTGGTGCATAAATTGAAAGTGATTGAACACATGCTGCGTATTACACCAATCATGAAGCACAAAAGTACTGTTCATTCCCTTCAATCATTGATCGCAAAAGCACTAACTTATGTCTGGTTTCCACATTGTTCACAAAGACTTCAGATCAGAGTTCATTAATATCCAAAATTGCATTGATTCATGAAGCCAACACTAAAGTGTCATTCAAATTAAACCACCAATACTAGAATGATTGACACCAGTACTCTCATCTTCCTGTGGCTATGGCAAACCCCCCTAGCTAAATGGTGATTTGCAACTTTAGTATAGAGAGTTTGCTTGAATTTTATTTTATGCAAAGGATATGACAAAGATAGTTAGACTAGCCACATCCCTGAAAGGATGAGCTTTAATTTCAACATTAACACGTTACATTATTTATTTATTAATAATTTTTTGTTCTTGCAATATAATGAAAGCCGTTCAAACCTTAAAATGTTTGCATTAACACATTACATTATTTATTTATTTATTTATTTATTGTTCTTGCGGTATAATGAAAGCCTTTCAAACCTTACCGGGATGTTTGGTTGGAGGGGAGGAATTATGTGGGAAAGGAATTGTAATTCCATGGGAGTTGAATTACTGGGAATAAAGTGAGAATTTAAATTCCAGTGTTTGGTTGACAGGAATAGAATTACTGGGAATTTCAATTTCAATGTTTGGTATACATGGGAATTGAAAGGGAATAAGTAGTATAAAGTCAAAAATGTCCATTATTGTTGTTAGACATTAATTTTAGGTTAAAAAAGGAGGGGCAATTTTGACTAATCACTATCTTTTTTTCCCAGGAATTAAAATCCCGGGGGGGACATGGGATTTTAATTCCATGAAAATGGGGGAATTGCAATTCCATGGAATTGCATTTCCCTCCAACCAAACTACGGAATTTAATGGCCTTTGGAATTAGGTGGGAATTAAGTGGGAAGGGAATTTAAAATCCCTTCAACCAAACACCCTGTAAAATGTTTGCATAACTTGAAAGGCATACAAATTAGAGTTTTGGCACAAAGTTTTTTAAATGTTATTATTATATCGTATTTTAAAGAAGTTGAGATTTCAAGGATATAGAGAAAAATAGTGTTGAATTGTAAATGTTATAATATGTCAGTAGGATCAACTTTTGAAAGTGAGAGAATTATGGATAGAGATGTCAATCGTATTCAAGTTGACTCAATAAGATAAAAAAAAAAAAAAAAAAAAAAAATTATAGGGTTAAGACACAAAAAATTAGCTCAATAAGAAAGCTGTGCTAGTCAGGCCAACTAGTTTAGTCTAATTAGCAAGAGTCACACCCTACTATATGATTAATTTGATATATGATTCAAAAATAAACTCAACTCATCCAAATATTTTTCCCATATATATAGGAGTGAGTTCAAATAATAACTCATTTGGTAAAAAGTGAAGTTGATCTTAGTTGCCTATCAAGATCAAAATTGAGTTTCCCAGCTTACACCAGAGTAATCTTCAGCCCCCAAAACTCCTACCCAAGAGACAAGAGTAGTAGTCTTTGTGCACAAGGGATCCATCTCTAGCTCCCCTATCATGCTATTGGAGTGGTGACTTTAGGTCAGGTGATTTACCACTCGAGCTAGCCCCGCTGGACATCAATTTTATAATTTAAAAGTTTACAATATTTATAAAAATTACTCTATTATTTTCCCCCTTATTTTTTGAAAACTCTCAACTTTTTATATACCCAACTAGATGAATCAGATCAATCATCACTTTTTACCTAGGAAGATGCTTTCACATGAACCCTCCCCCAACCACCACCACACACAATATTTTTCTTCTTTTTTTTTTTAGTTTAAGTTTATATTTATTCATATAAAAGATGCTACTTAAAAGTTTAGAACCTTAATTTTAAAATGTCAAAAATTTTATTAGCTGAACTCACCAAATAAGCGTGATAGTTTGAGATTTTAATATTAGAACAAAATATTTTGAACCCAAAAAGAAAAATCAATAAATTCAAATCGAAAAACCTAACAGCCAGATATGATTAGCTCGAAACAAAGCTAACTTGCTTGATTGACATCTCTATGTAGGGATGTAGATAGCCTTATAGTTAGGCCAATGGCCTCTAGCCATGGCGTCATCCTTGACCAAAAGGACCCCCCCACCCCCCAGGCATATATAACATTGTAGTACGTATATATTCCATATATTCTTGAGTTATATTATATAGAGAAAAGGGTCAAATAGGTCATAAAAAGTTAATTAATTACGTCCATAAATTTATAAAGTTGTAATAAAATTCAAAAAACAATTAGTGACCTGCTATTACATGTTACTAGGGTTCCGGTCAACATTTTGACAACCTCAGACTGACTCTGGCGACATTTTCAACAACAAATCAATTGACGACCACCGTAGAGGCAGTTGCCTTCTCCGGTAGATGGCAACAACGGTGGTTGCTTTCTGTCGGAGAAGGTAACCCACGAGTTGCCTTCTCGGAGAAGGCAACTCTGTTGATTCAAAATCGACCAACAACCTAGAATGGTCGCTCGTCGATTTGTTGCAAAAAATGTCATTGGAGTTTGTCGAAATGTTGATCGGAACCTTAGTGACCTGTAATAGCCGGTCACTAATTGGTTTTTGGGCTTTATTGCACTAAAATAAGATGTTGATATGTTTAGTTGCAACTTTAAAAAGTTTAAGAACCTAATTGACTTTTTTAGGTAAAATTTGATGACCTATTTGACCATTTCCCCATTATTTAATATAATCCTCAATTTGAGAAATTTTTTTAAAATAGTAATTATGTTGTTGTCATTATCTTTTTAAAATCCAAAAAGATAAAGAAGAAGAAGATGGAAGATAGTTTTAATTAGTAAACTAAAAGTTTCCATTTCCTTTAGAAAAGCTATCTAGCTAGGTAGAATTAAAATAATCATAATTATATATCCATCCCTACCTCCAAGTGAATTTGTGGTGTGATGGGGTGTGGGACTTGGAGGAAGATGATAGTGGGTTTTGCAGAGAGCACAAATTGAAGAAAGTGTACACTAAGTTTGTCGCTTTTAGGCTGGCATGTTTGGATTTTTGGTATTACGATGATACATTTTTCCCTTTATCTTTTCCCAATCATCTGCACAATGATATTCCCTTGTTTCCTATACTCAACCAAATCTTTCCGTCTTTATTAATCTTTTTCATGTTTCACCACCTCCATTATATATATTTACTGTCTGTAACTTATAACATGGAAGATAGATTATAATGATGCTGCCACATATATATATAGCCTTAGCTTGTGGATAGGGATTACACCAAAGCCTACCAAACTGTCAATAAAGATCAGAGATTCATATATAGTGGGCTGGTCTTATTACAAAGCCATTCTCATCAGATCAGGTTAATTGTACTGTGTTGCCCCCACACAGTTTTGTAATTGAGACATGCATAATGAGATGTAGTACGCCAAACAAACTTTATTTTCTGAGAGGCATTAAAACATCTGAGATATTTAGATGCATGTTTGCTCATTGCATTGCCATGTTAATTCTCACATAGTTTTTTTGTGTTGAAACGAACATATATTGGGTATAACAAAAAAGCTAGGTTTTAATGAAATCATGCATGGTCTGTTTAATTTATGTGTTACAATTCAAACTCATAAACAATTTGCTTAATAAATGTATTACACAACATACATAAACTAACTAGCTTGTTAAGTAACCGGGTTAATTAGTAAATATGTCAGGATAAGTGTAAACCTATGGAAAATAAAGATTTTAGTCTCCAATTATGAGAAAATAGTTGATTCAGTTTTTCAATTATTACTGTCTTGTGGGAAAACAGTTGATTCAGTTTTTGAATTACTACCGTCTTCGCATTTATCTCTCAATTATAATCTCGGTGGTAGCTAGATATAATCCTTCAATGACAAATT